TAAAGAGATTGAGTCGCCACCCATGTTTTACCGGATTGCGTACTCGGATCGCTTGTCTTCTAACTTTTATGCGCACAGAATTCAGTCAACTCAGGAAAGGTCTTTAGAGTTAAGTCCAAAAAAAACCAAACTATCAGCAATATGGTTAATTATCTCATTGTTGTATTATCTGTCTTTTACAGATTTAGTCTCCGCGGAGTTTTAACGATAGTAATCCGCAGATCCTCCTTTAACAATGAGACTGGATGCTGCGGAGGATCCTTACCGCTGCACTTTAGCTTATAAGTCAATTACACAAGGACGAAGTTTGCATTTGCAGCAGCGGGCTGGTCCCAGTGTTGGTTTCGAATACGGGAAGCAAAGTCTGTAAAAAAAAACAAAACAACTTTACATAGTGAAAAAAATGCAACTTTATGATTGCCAAGATCGTTAAAGTCCCTTTCACATAAGCAGTCCTCTGAAATTCTGCAGAAGTATTTCGGTTAAGCCAGCTTGATCGGGGTATTAAGCCCCAGCATTGTCTGACAAGATAGCTCCTTTGCATTGTTTTCTGTTTAAAAAATTGCATGTCGGTGGAATTAAATGCACAAACAGTTAAAAGGTTTAAGTTACCGGATGAGCAACTTGATCCTCTTATGTCTTTAGGGGTCCTAACTCTGTCAGTAAGGCGCAGATTTCATTGTTGCGGCTAGCAGACTGTAAAGTGCCGTCTTGCAGGCTTTCTCTGCTGATTGTGTGCACGTGAAGGGAGTGTGTGTGTGTGTGTGTGTGCAGATCGTGCATGTGTGTGTGTGATGCCACAGGCCCTGTCCTTGGATTAGAGATGGTGGTGGTGGTGGTGGTGCTGCTGGTGGTAATGGTTTGGATGGGATCATATCTGGATGGATGAAAGGAGGATTGGATGGAGAGGAGGGGGCAGGTTACCCCAGGGACTCATCATAAGAAGACGGAATGAGGGAAACAAGAAGAAAGGAGGGGGAGAGGAGAAAAAATAAAGAGGACATTGCCTATCCTCTTCTTCTCTTTCCAAGGCCAGTGTGACAGCAGCTCAAGCCTGCTTACTGTTGCTGCATTTCATCCGAGCGGATATTCGAACCCTCTCCTCCCCGCAGCTCGTCCTCCCTCTCGCTCCTCTGCGCTCCTTCATTTTGTGTCTCCAATTCCATTAAGTTGATTTACGTTATTCAGACAAACTCATTAATCACATTTTCCCTTGGATATAATCTGCTTGTCAATCTGAACCCTGGCTGAGGGAGAGGGGAGGGAACCGAAAGGAGAGAAAAAAGAAAAACAACGGAGGTGAGGAAAAACGAGGTAGACAGATGGATTATGTTCTGCTGGAGGGTCGCTCGGACTAAACATTCCAAACCGGCGCGGGTTCGTCGCGATCGCGCTCGTCTTTATAGATATTTTGTCTGCATGAGGAGACTTGTTTATCTCAAGAGCCAGATGGACACGAGCGAGATAGAGAAACATCTAGAGAGGAAGCGAGAGACGGGGGAAGAAATGGGGAATGGAGGGAGAGGCTGGGAGCAGCGAGAGGGAGAGATGTGGAGTCGGGGGAGGCTCCAGTCACAGTCTCTTAGTCGATGATGATGAATTACTTTGACAGAGACAATCAGGATGAAATGTTAATGCGAGTGTGCCAGAGGATGCAGTCACAGCCAGACTAAGTCCTCCTATGGGGGAATGAGATGAGCGCACACTAGCCGATGCACTCAAACGGACGCATTCTTACCCATATATATATATATACATCTACAGCAATGCAAGAAATCTCCAAAGAGATGGAAGTTATATTCGCTGACTGTTGGTTCGTGCAGCAGCGGGAGGATGAAATGTGTGAAACGCCGTTGCTCTCCTGACCGTTGTGCACAAGGCGGCCTGCATACGTCTGAGTGATGCTTCTGGAGCTGAGAAGAAGTGTTCATGCAGTGAGTCACAGGCTGTGTGGGATCCATGTGCTTAAATCCCAAGGTGTGCTGTCACAAAACAATTGGAAACTTTTCGACGCTTACACACACGACGGTGTCAGAAATAATGGCTACAAACGCCGAATCTTCCCACTCGGTGTTTTATTTAGTCACGCTTAAAAGGCACCGATTTATCGATGGCAGTGTCAGTCTAGCTAAACGTCATCTCCATCAGCCTCAGCGTTCCCTTTGTGCTAAGTGCTAATTAGCAATACTAAGACTGGGATGTTGGTACGCTCAGCCACAAAGCACCGCTGTGTTTAAATACGGCCACAAAGAGCCTCTAATATCACGCTCTCCGTTTTGTTTAGCCATGTATATTAGGATGTGCTGCTGCAACAAAATAAAGGTGCTCAGACGCTGCTGCAGGCATGAATCAATGTCTTCTGGCTCTCAATCATTCATTTTTGATAAAGCGCTGTTGTGCTTTTGTCTCTTTCAAAGACCAAACTGTTTGAGACAAAAAAAAAAAAGGAGGCCTCCCTTCGCATGATTCATCAAACTCTCCTGAAAAGTGGACTGACATGATAACTCTTCATCCGCCGAGTAAACAGCTATAATAGATGTGTCGGCTTAACCAAAACCTTCTTTTTCTTCTCTTTCTCTGGCATACTTCGCCAACCATCCCCAACTTTCTCCTTGAACTCTTTAGATCTTTCCACAAAAGTGTATAATTAAGAGAAGCCGGCGTACCTGATGGTGCTGCAGGTTTTCTGTCTGGCAGCCAGTCAGGCAGCAACAGACAAAGAGATCAAGCAGACGGGGATTTATTTTTTTATTTTTTTTTGCATGGTTTTGATTGAAAGGAGGCAGTAATCTTGGCATTAGCTTTACATCACGGTGACTGACTCAGGTTTCCCCTCTTTGCTTTCCACTGTGTACAACCTGCAGGTAGGCGCACGCCCACCATCTGACTGACTGACTGACTGACTGACTGTAACACAACACTTTGCAAGGGCGAGCGCAAAACCACATCGCACCGGCGCTCGCATCGCATCTTCACACTCCATCCCTCCTCATGACTCAGACTGAGAACAATAGTTCAAGGCTCCTTCAGTCTGGCTCCCTGCACCCCTCCTTTTGCCCCTTATGGCCACAAGAAGTCGTAAATGCAGATGTTTCAGATGTCGGGTACCGGAAGAGGGTCGCAGATGAAGGGCGGATGAGGTTTTTTTTTTTTAAAGCCGAGGCCTCGTGTGTGGTGTTTTCCTTATAAACTCTTTGTCTGCTGGCAAAGAGGCTGAAATAAAAATAAGCTGTAACAGACTTTAAAAAAAAAAAAAGTAATCAGGATTTGTAGGCGTGAAATGGTAGGCTGTGAAAGTTTTTATCACTTGAGAGGAACAACACTTAATGAGTTACGGCGTGAAAAAGGCAAAAAAAAAAAAAAATAGAACAGAAAGAGTAATTGTGTCCTCCACCTTCCAGATTGTTCCGACTGCAAGTTTTTCAGCAATTATGCAGCATTATTGTAAACTGCAAACAGGTTTTCCTTGCAGCTCGCCGCTCATTTGTATTCTGGAAATCGTCCTGGTTGTATTTTTTTTCGTTGAATGGATTATGATGCCTCTATTATTTTCCTCTTGACCACATATTTTTTTCACAGTTGTTAGGTTTTCATTTTTAAAGTGGCAGCCTTGACGAATAAAGAAAAAACAACCCGGTTTAATCATGATGACGGGTAATTTGAGTTTAATGAGGTGGTAGATAAATAAATAAATAAAGTTTATATAGTTTCTGTCCCTAGTGGAGGATGCGAAGACATTAAGAAACTGCCCGGTTCTCTTGTGAATGCTCTGTATGTTCCTTGAAAAGCATACAAACCACCCAGCCCAGGCCACAACCCCACGAGGCCGTGATGTATGCCCCTAGCCGCCGAATTAATGCAACATTTCCATTAGAAAAATTGCGTGACACAGCTGATTTAAGAAGTTACAGATCACAACGACGCTGTGACATAGCATGGAAGATTACTTATCGGAGAACCGTCATCTGCACTTTGCTGAAATTTGTGACGGAAGGCAGAGACAAAGACAACGCGATATACATCCTGTATGTTCCGGCGGAGACGCCGAGGAGCATCTCGTAAACTCTCGTGCGACACTTAAAATAAATTTCGCAAATGTCAATTTTCTAACACTTGGGGAAACTAAAAGGAGGTGATTTAGTTGTAATTTCATCCTGTTTTGCAGCAGCTAGTACATGATTTTGAAGTCTGTGAAGTGCAGCCAGTGTTCACTGTAACCGTACACTGTAATTACTGCATAATTACTGTGCATATGAGAAACAATGACGTGAGTCTCGGTTCAAACAGCTGCAGAACAGACACAAGGTCACATTCTCTTTGTTCTCACATCATATCTCACCGTGCGTCTTATCTCCGTCCCTCTCAATTGAGTTTTCTCTTATAAAAAAAAAAAACCTCTTTCAGTGCCAAGAATAAGACCTCAGGGCGACGGCACTGTGTGTTCATCCGTCTCAATATGACCTCCCATAAGAAGACAACATGTATTTTAAGTTGTCACACTCGCAGTTAGCATGTGCTCCCCAGCCGGCCGAGCATTCAGAGAGCGTTGCGGTTACGTCGCTTACAGTAAAGTACAACAGCAGGAACATCGGGGAAAATTGCACTTAATTTACCTGCGCTGATCACATAATATTTTCAACACGATTCACTTTCATCCGAGCGCTTTTCTTTTATGCCGCCGCATAAATGAACTCGTGGAGCTGCAGAGCTTCTTCTTCTTCTGTGTATTGATTTTGCGGTCTCATTATAAAGAATGCACCTCTCCCGTGGCACCGGTATTCATGCAGCTCATTACGTGACGCTGCCATTCAGCGCTCATCGACTTCTGCTTCAAATGTGCTCGGTTTTATAACTTGTTTGCTGTTAAAAAAAATCGTATTTAGAACTTGTTGCTGCTGCAATGTTAATTGTCGTCGTGTGATCTCATTTGAGACCTCAGATGCTTTAAGCGCAGCGGCCAGAAAAACACATCTGAGTTAAGAGAGGTTAACTAACAATGTACGTACAAACCTAAAGGGATTTTGTTTTCAGGCTCACAGATAATTGTTGGGATAATTAGCCTGCAACACTAAGTAGTCTTTGTTATCACTGCCAAGGAGGTTATGTTTTCATTACTGCTTGTTGGTTTGTTTGTCTTAGAGCTTGTGTTTGTCTCAAGCTTATGCAAAAAAACACTACGAGGTCAGATTTTATGAAGCTTGGTGGAGAGCTGGAGCGCTGCCAAAGGAAGAACCCACGAAGTTTGGGTGTGGATCCGGTTTGGGTTGTGAGTTTGCATGCCATCGAAGAAGAAGAGTGGACTACTGGCCTCGGTGGAGGTCTCTGCTCTCCAAGTTGCCATTGGAGTTGTAAATGGATCCAGCAGTTTGCACGGAGTTTTAAAATTCCGAGTCTAAATTGCTTATGCTCAACAAAAGGACAGGTTTTTGGATTAGAAAATGAATTTCCTGCCTGTTAGAGACAGTTTGTGAAATCAGTGTTACTTCTAATTTATTTCCTAAGCTAAGACGAGATAGTAAACAGAATTAAATTCTGCACATTTTCTATTAAAATTGTCCACAGGCTGTCACTGGCTGGAGGCTTGCCTGTAGCCACACTTGTATTCCTGTTTCCATGAAACGTGTCTTGCAGCTAGCTGGTGTGGACATACTAGTCGACGGCACAGTGGGTACAGTGACACACTTGGCTCTAATCAGGTTAGTGACTGAGACACTGGTTTCCTGAAGGATTACATCCTTATATCACTTCCCTTGTGTATTCCTTTTTTAAATCCATCCCCTCGCCTATCTTCTGTCTCTCAATTCTTGTTATTTCCACACATATTTTCTCCAGCACTGTAATTTACCAGCAGTTGGACCAGAACACAGACACGGAGTAGCCTTTAACAGTTTGTCCCATGCCAGAGATGATCACTCTACTTCTTGCATTGTGTTACCTCATCTTGTGACATAATAGCGGTGCTAATGGCAGTCACCACTCCGCTGCAGACTGCCAGCGTTTATTCGCAACTGCCTGTACTGCATTGTCTAATACATTTCGTTTCCATACATATTGTTTTGCACACTGGCGTGACGTCTCAATGATCCGCCTGCCCGAACATTGTCATCTCGTTCATTAGTTTAGAGCTGGATGTGAGCGGCGTTGCTCCTCCAATATGGTGTGTGGAGATAACAACATTCAGACAGATTCATTCTGCGCGTTGGCAAAACAGCAGCTACTCGGGTACGCTGCATTGTCAGTTTGTGACTGCGGCCTCGTGCAGCGGCGGGATTGAATGTCGTCGTTTATCAGAGATGATTCATAATGCTATTGGGTATGATGCACGAACAGAAAACAAGATACTCTGTTATCGGTATCACAATATCACGGGCTAACACAGCACGTAATTGTGTTTAGTTTATTCCATCCTCCATTATAAATATATGTTTCCTGTCATAAGAGGAAAATAAAGAGAAACAGAGTCTGTGGGATGAGGTTTTTTCTTTTTTTTTATTCTGAAGATGTATTTAGTTGCAGAGGAGGGAGCCGAGGAAGGAGGAGAAAGCCAATGAGACTATGTAATGCACAGACAGAACAGGTCGGCATTGAGCGAATAAGACAAGAGAGAAAGCGAGGATGAGGCAAAGACTACAAAAGTGTGTGTGACTGCTGTGCTCCTCTCTCCCCCGACCCATGGCCACCTTAATAGAGATTAGCATCATGCTCAGTCAGATCTGATAGGCCCGTTGCTGTGGAATGGAAGGCCAGCTACCCAGTTATCAGTGAGGACACAGACTCGGTCGCTTAGCATAATGGAACCTGCATCAAATGAACCGGGAGCTCGACGAGGGGGAAAAAAAAAAAATGTCATTAACGGAGCTGAAATGATTTTTCTGTGATAGTAAAACAGCAAATTAAATCACGATACATTTGCAGACTTTGTGACTGAAACAGATGATGGTGATATCCAGCAGCGTTGTTTACAAGATAACGCGGCTTTTTGCTTCTTTCTTTGGTCGCAAGGACGTTCGGTGTAACGGTGATACGTTTGTGTTGCCGCTATTGTCCTCTCTGTTTTGCAGCATGTAGAATCGTGCGGTTGCTTACTTGATTGTGTAAAAGTTAAACGTGCTGCAAAGAGCGACATACTGAAGACTGCATTAGGTACACAATGAGGCGCTGATAGAGACTGTATCACACCTTGTACAACTCCGAAGCACACCTATTATGAAGAAGCAGGAGGCTGTGAGATGTGAAATCTGCACCAGATGGATAGAACAACAGAAAATCATCACACCTCTTATTCAGTCCCTGCAGGCCACCCGCTTACATCCTGAGTCTGCTTTTCTGGTTTAGTTGCGAGAGCGAAAAAAAGAACACAACAAAAACAGCTGCACGAGTCGAGCCTTAAAGCACGTGCAAAAAAAAAAAGAAAAACACAGTATATATTGTGTCTTTCCGTTGCAATTCTTGGAGTCATTTCTTTGCCAGATGTCTTGTTGTGCCGCAGGACAAGGTTAATTACTGGGTCTCTTTGTCTCTGTCCGGTTGGTTACAGATAGTGATGCACATCATTTTTATGATTTTTAACGTAGAGGCCATATTGATTACAACTTAATGTCTATTTAGTCAAGGTCCAGCAAGGATAAAAATTTCCATTTCTTTGCTCCAAATCTCCTTGAGCCTTTTATATCCATAGTAAAAACCACTTAGCGAGCCGCCGTTGAATATTGACTTTGAGACTTTTCTCATTTACAGCTCGGGTCTGTCGAGGAAAAGGGTTTGTAACTATCCGGCTCTCGGGCCAGAATTACAGCTATTGTTTTATTGATTGCTCATCCTTTTTTATTTGCGGGGGGAAAAACTACCCAAGGAACACAGTGTCCCTCGGCAACTTCTCCCGTGCAGCTCTAAATGGCCACACTAACTTCTGCTGTGACTCAAAGACCTTATGCATGAATTGCTGCAAGTTTATCAAGCGTTCCCCCCTCTTCCTGCCACTGAGCCATTTTTTCCCCCTTCCTTGTAGAAATTACATAAAAAATCATTTTAGGACTCATGCATTTTGGATTTGGAAATACTTAGCCACGGAGCCACAGAAATGGATTTTTCTGTTCCGCCTCTCCCTGCTGATGGCTTAGCTGATGTTTACTAAAGACGGGATCGCCGAGATTGCGTTTGGTTCCTCCTGTATCCGGCACACATTTCCAAACATATTATATGTTTTCAACCCCGGGAAGCCTAATTTAAAGCATTACTTGACTCGCCAACCTTACAGGCTGGAAGTCCCAGGTCTGTATCATGACTAAGCAAAGCATGAAATGGCGCAGCATCGCCTCAAGGCACCCCGCAGTTGGCCTTCATAAAGTGAGTTTCCAAGTAAAATGCATTATGCCGTGTGACAGTTTCAACACCCCGATCGCTGCTCCGCAGGGCACTGCTTCAGTCATTCCAGCATCTGTCTCCGTGGAGTTAATGTGGCATTTAGCTCACTGACATTCTGATACTTTTCTTTTTTTTTTTTGACGCTATTTCGTCTTCTCAGGAGAAACACTGGGTCTCAGTTTGTATCTTTCAGCTGCTTTGGCTCTTTGGACAGGGGTCAAGCTCTGTACAGTGTACGCCGAACGGCCAGCTCGTATATAAAAATGACAAAAGTATGGCCCGATGTTACAAGGCGCATAAAGAGTAAAAGGGATAAACAATCAGAAAAAGAGACGGAGTGGTGTCAGACGAAAAAGATAAGTGGATCAAAAGAAAGACGGAGAAGGCCATGTGCTACCAAGCATGTCCTTATCAGCCGCAATTTTCTCCGCTTTGCCCACACAGCGCTGTATCAGCTGCCTCCAGATTGATTAGGTTGCCCCGCTAGTATCATCACAAGCAGTGATTGACAGGCCTGGAAAAGGTTCTGATATTTAAATGTGTAACCTCGTTCTTTTTTTGGGGTCAATCTCTTAAGCACCAGTTTCATGTGTGTGTGTGTGTGTGTGTGGAAGATGTGAGTTTGGGCTTTGTGTGCGTGCTCGAATGTGTGTCACAGAAATGGGGGCTTGTTTTGATTCATAAACGCTTCTTCCCAGACAAAGCAAAGGAGCAGCCTGCACCGCGCTAACCTTTTCCTTCTTTGCTGCCATTCTCAAGGAGATGAAGAGAGGCAGCGAATGTAGATGAAGAGCATTAGGAGGATGAAGAGAGCCGGAGAGAAGAGGAGAAATGATGGCGATAACATAACAAATGTTTTCATTAAGTCTGCGAGAGGTGGTGAGGGAACATGGTGGATAAATGGCTACGTGGGCCCGACAGACAAAGAGACAACAAAACAAAGAGTCTGCTATGAGGCTGTATTTAGCCACCGCGGCGCTTTGAGCTTCACAGACGGATGGCAAATTGAAGGAAAAACCAACATAAAGTGTCTCAGAAAGGTGATGAGTCGCCACGTGCAACCAGAACAGAACTTCAGTGCAGCTTGGCATTTATCCTACAAGTCGCTGGAAGTCTCTGGAGAGCGCCGCCTAACATGTTAGCACAAAGTCTCCCAGAGGTGTGCAGCTGGTTGGAATCTGTTGACTTAGAAGGCCATAGCATGGGATCCACATCGCATCCATGCAGCTAATTAGTGATCCCTCATGTCCTACGGATGGGGGCAATGTCTTCTTGGAGGAGACCACTCCCATCAAGATGGAGATGTTTCCCCACAAGATGACGGCGATAGCGAGTTTGTTTTGACTGCGTGGCTTCTCAGTAGTCGTGGTAATCTTAAAAGCGTCAGTAAAGAGCAACTGAACTTGAAGAAGAACCAAAATCTGAAGAACAAGTGAGCTCAAACTGTAGGCAGCACCTAAAGAACATCATAGATTGTTAAACAAAAGAAAATCTGAACCTGATCGTGATAGATGGAGATGTTAAAATGACAAATTATCCTTGAGAACATGAAGGCAAGCATCAGATTTCATGTAAATCCATCAAGTACCTGCAGTAAACTTTTACCAACAAAAAAAAACAAAACAAAAAACTCTGTATTTCTTCATTTAGAGTAAAGGTTCGGCGTTAACCAGAGCCTGTAGGGTTCATCCTCTGGGTACAAAATACACCTGCATGGCAATTAATCCAAAAGGCGTTGACGTGTTTTACCCTCGACCAAACCTGGGCATCCACGAGGTAGAATATTTTACAGGCATCAATCCATGAATGCAGCATTCCTCTTTCCTGTTTTGGTGATTTAGGCTGGTTTAACGCCACACAACACGTTTATTTCTTGGGAAAAAAAAACCTTTAGCCGAGCTATTAGAGGGTTTCCAGAGTGATTTTGAGAGCTCGTCTCAGCCCCAGCAGCCCAACAAGTTCTTGACCTACTTTTAAAAACAATGTAGTGAGTGGTGGTTATCTCCTCTCATCTTTCTCCTTGGCTGATTTCTGCTGGTGGCGAGGTTGGTGTGATGTCAGTTTACTTTGGATCATTCTCAGACAGTGAACACCCATTAGCCTCCTCCTCCTCTTCCCGTCTCTGCTCTGTTATCGTTCTTTCTTTTCCTTTCCTTTCCTCATTACGCTTTTTTTTAATTTTTATTGTCCTCATTTCTATATCTATGGTAATTTGCTCCGAAGAGTGTCCTTAGTACAAAAAAAAAAAAAGGATATCCATTGCTTTTGCAACAGATAATTGTTTTTAGTGATTAAGAATCACAGAGGCATGTCCGGGCCTAATGGCTTTTAG